CCTCACCCCCCTACCCCCCACTATCGCGGGCGGCGCCCTCCAGACGTCGCCGAGCTCACGCTGACGTTGGAGGGGAGGCACGCGCTGCGATTCGTCCGCGCGTACGGTTTCCGCAACATCCAGAATGTCGTCCGCCGCGTCAAGACCGGCCGCTGCGCCTACCACTTTGTTGAGCTCATGGCGTGCCCCGCCGGCTGCGCAAACGGCGGCGGCCAGCCTCGCCCGCCGCCACTCGAGGCGAGCGGCCGAGCCGCGGCGGTGGAGGCGGCGCTGGTCGCGCCGGGCGAGGCGGCGCGGCGCCACCCGTGCGACAACCCGGCCGTCGCGAGCCTCTTTCGCGAGGGCGCCTTCTTGGAGGGCGGGCCGCTCGGGGCCGCGGTGGCGAGCCAGCTGACCACCGAGTTCAACGCGCTGGCGGACGAGCCGCCGACAGAGCAAAGCGCTTTGGGGATACAGTGGTAGTGTGCGCGTTTTGTTGTATTTTGATTTTCTTGAAGCCCGAGGCCGAGCGTGAGCTTGTGGGTTGTGGCCCGTGCACAGTGGGGCCGCAAGCTAGACACACACCCCTCGCTAGAGCGTAGTCCGTAGAGGTCCTGGGGCTGTGCCGTGTGCGCGAGAGCGCGGTGAGACCGGTCTCCCCGGGCGGCCGCCGAGTCTTGCGTCCGCGCGAGCTCCAAGGTCCAGCAGAGCGGAGTGTCTCCACAGAGCGAGGTCCGCTTCCACGCTTCCGGGCTTCCGGTTCCGCAGTGCCAGTGGTAGTGGTAGTGGTGCATAGACACACAACACACACACGCGCACAATAATGATACAGCTTACCGGGTTGGGAACGTATCTAAAAGTCTTTGTTCAACGCGAGAGTGGTTCGACCACGCCGCTGAGCCGCGTGTCCCTCGCGGATGGGCCAACGAGTACCGTGCGGTTTTCGCCCGCGGCGAGGGCAGCGTTGTACTCAACGGCGAGCCGACCCTATACCGGCAATGCCATGCTGTGAGAATGAAAAATTAATGTCAGTCGTTCTTCCTTTGGTAGCTTTGCCCGGGCGATTTGAAAGGCGAGGTCCGTGCTGGCGCCCGGCGCGAGGGTGACGCGGGTCCAGGCACGGAGGCTCCGCATCCCAGGCGCGGCAGTCTCGTTGGGTGGAACCACGCGGACCTGCACCGTCTCGCTCGCCTCCTGCTCCCCAGCGTTGGTGAGCGAGAAGTTTGCCCACGACGAGGAGAGTTGCAGGCCGGAGTAGGCAAATGGCACCGCCTCCGGTGGCGGATCGCCGTTGTTGCAGTTCAGAAAGGAGCGGGTCGGATCGCAACGGCACGGCCGCTCGGGGCCTCGCAGCCCAACGCGAAGCGGGGACGCCTCCGCTGGTGGACAGGTCCCCTCAAAGGCGATGGCAGCTCTGTGCGGGTGATCTCGCCAGCCTCTGCAGTCGACGATCTCGATTGCAGAGCCGTATCGCGAGAGGCCGTCAGCGACGCCGTTATTGTCGGGCAGCAGCATGAATGTGTCGTAACCCTCGGCGACCGCCCTCTCGCACCCTGGCGACTCGGGCTGCCTGACCCGGTCCGTCTTGGTCCGGAGTGACTTCCCCACGTTGATCCAGATGCCGGAGCCGGGTGCAAGGTAATACCAGACCTTGGGAAACGGCGACAAGTGAGACTGAGTCAGGGAGACAAGGAGTGTGTCGGCGTGGTTCGCTCTCGAGCTCTCCCCGCTCAGCAGCGCGCCTGACCCCGTGTGGCCGTGTCCTCGATCCGCTCGTTTGGCGGGTTGGTGCGGTTGAAGTGCGTCACCTCGGCCCAGGTGCCGTCGGCGGGCGGCTCGCAGTGGCCATTGCCCGCCACAAAGATAGCTGCGCCGCCCGCGCCTCCGCCGCCTCTGCTGCCCGCCTTGCGCCCGCCAGCTCGGCGCGCGCGCGGGTGGCCTCTCCCTCCCACCCAGCCGCGCGCGCGCTCGCCGCCTCGACCCGCCGCCGCGCCTCCGTCAGCTCCGACGACGCCAGCGAGGCGAGGCGCACCCGAGACTCGTCGCGCTCCCGCGCCGCCGCGGCCGCCTCGGAGCGCGCCTGGCTCACCGCCTGCGCTGCCTGCGCCTGCGCCTCATTAGTGCGGCTCGACCTCTTTGAGTCACTGCCTTCCCGGCCCCGGTTTGGCTGTAGAGCCTCTACAACAAACTCTACAGCAAAATCGCGCTCTACACGCTCTATAGGCGACTCATATCCAGCCGGCGCCCGCGTCTGTTGCCTCGGCATCTCTTGCACTGTGCCCGCGCCTCGTTCTACGACGCCGCCGCTGCCTGCCGATCCCTTGCTCTCTCGGCTTCTCCCCGACTCGGCTTCTCCCCTCCCGGCGTACATGTCACTCCGCTCTCCTTTCGATTGTAAAAAGAAAGAAAGAAACAAAACAACCCAAGGGAGGCGGAGGGGAGGACGGCACGCCGCCACCACACAGGGATTCTCTCGTCGTTCTCTCTCTTGTGACTTGTCGCTTCTTCCTCTCTCTGTCGCGTCGCTCTCCTCTGCCTCGTTCCGCGACGGCGCCGCCGCCTGCCGCTCCCTTGCTCTCGCTTCTTCTCCTCTTCTTCTCTCGCCCTCGATTGTAAAAAGAAAGAAAGAATAAAGCCGTACAGACACGCCAAGGGAGGGATGGGAGGAACAAATTATGATAACAGTACGGGGAGGGCTCCCAGGGCTTTGAGGTTTTTTCAGTGCCAACCATGATAATAGGCAAGGCGTTCAGGGTAGTGAAGAAATAAGAAGAAGAGGACAGTCGTTCGACCTCGCATGCGAGATGTGTGTCGCGACCCCTCGTCGCCGGACACCTCCCGACACGGTGTGAAGAACAACTCCTCTCTCGACCGCTCTACTACGCCGCCGCTCTTCTCGCACTGCGCAGCTCACGGCCCAGCCTCGTCCTCTTTTGCCGATTTCTGTAAGCGTCCATTTTTGAATAGGTTTGGAATCCACCGAGGGGTACGATTCCACATAATTCATCCGACGGAAACGAGGCGATGGCACCTGATTCGGGGAGCAGTGGGGGGGGGGGTGAGGATTTGGTTCTGAAGAAGGTGGGGCAGTATCGAGGGGGATGGGGTAGGGTCACCCTTTGAGCGAGCGAGGGCTGTGGCGCCGACGGCGGCACCCTTGTACGAGGCTGTGAGGGGAGCGGCGGCGAGGGGGGGGGGCGGCGGCGACGCAGGCGAGCCGCGCGCGCGCGACTGAGGGAAGCGCGGGCGGCGGGAAGAAGGAGAACGGCGGCGGCGGCGAGGCGCAAAACGGGGGCGGCGGAAGTGGGGGCGACGGCGGCGGCGGAGTGAACGGCGGCGCGCGCACGGACGGCGACGAAATCGACGGCGGGAAGGGGCGGGGCTGCATGGCGGCGGCGGGCGCGCGCTCATATGTCGTGCTTTCGCATTGGCACTTCACATCCTCCTCGGCGACCTGCGTGCGCGGGAACGGCAGGGGTCATGTCGCGCGCACCGGGCGGCGCCGTGCTCGCAGCACCCGGGATCGCGGCAGAGTATGGTGGAGAGCTCTACCCGCGCACCTGCCCAGCGAGGAGCTCGACGCCGCTCCTGGCAGGCGAGGCAGGGATCTCGGCGACGTTGGAGAGCGGGCGCACGATCGATGAGCTGAGACGTAGCGCGCCGCGTACATGCCGCCGCTGCCGCCGCTGCCGATGGCGCCGGCCGCCGCTGCTCGGCGACACGCTTCGCGACCCCTGTCAGCGGCGCGGGCATGCGCGTTTGTGTGTGACGGAGGCGGTGCGGAGTTTCTCTTTCCTCCTCCTCGCCCTCCCGGCTCGCATGCCCATGGGTCGTGCATGACGCGTATCTGAGCAACTGAGCCTCAAGCTCAACCCCACACCCCCTTGCCCCCTGCAGCTGCACCACCCACCCCCACCACCACTGACTGGTTCGAGTGTGTAAGTGTCGTGCGCGTAGGCATTTTTATAAGGAGGTCACATTAACTACCAATTACGGAGCTGATACAATATACATCGATCATCGTCGCACACGACACTCGACAGCATGCCCATGCGTGCATTTCGGTTGCCGCAGCATCCTGCATCGCGCGTCATGTAGGACTCTATAACGGTAGACACTGGGCACAAGGGCCTTCGTACTGAACACTCGGAGCTCTACTAGACAGAGTGAGGAGGAGGGGAGGGGGCGCTAGAGGGAGAGGGCAGTGCGCCGGACGAGGGCGAAGCCGAGCGGCAGTGGGTCCAGGGCGCTATCGGGCGCACCCCGCTGCTACTAGAAACGACTGTGTGTCGTGGCAGCGCGGTCGGCCAGCAGTGCCGCCGCGGCAGCAATGTCGTTCCCCGAGCGGTAGAGCGCCTCGCTCGCGTCAGCGAGCGCAAACCCCATCTCGACGAGGGCCGACTCGGCCGCCGGGTTGGTTGGTGGTTCCTGCGACTGCGCGTATTGCGACAGCCACTGCCCCTGCGGCGGCCGCGGCCGCGGCTGCTGCCGCTTAGCGGTGGGGGGGGGCAGTGGCGGCTGCTCAACGAGCCGCTGCTGATGCGGAGGCGACGAGGCGACGAGGCGAAGGAGCATGCGTCGTATGGCGGGAGCGGTGCGCGAGCGGCGGATTTCGCGAGCAGCAGGCGTCGCGGGGGTACTGGGCGTGCAGCTCGCGGCGCCCATTGGTGGCGTGGTGCGGCGGGGCGAGCGCGAGAGGGAGCGGAAGATGCAGAGCATGCTGTGCGTCTTGTTGGCAAATTTTGACCGAGCGTGATAAAGCGAGCGCCTCCATCCACAGCCCCCGATCCCCCTCAAACGTCTTATCAGGTGGACACACACACACACACACACACACACACACACACACACACACACACAGAGAGAGAGAGAGAGAGAGAGAGAGAGAGAGAGAGAGAGAGAGAGAGAGAGAGAGAGAGAGAGAGAGAGAGAGAGAGAGAGAGAGAGAGAGAGAGAGGGAGAGGGAGAGGGAGAGAGCAGAGAGATTCCTCAGATTCCAATGAAAAATGCTTAGAACGCGTTAATCCCTCCTGGCGGAAATAAATAAATAAATATTTGTTTGATTTAAGGTCCCTCGGGCAAGTTTGGGGGGGCAAACCCAGCCCACCCCCTAGAGCTCCAGGTAAGGCCCAGGTGTGGCCTAGGGCATCAGAAGCGACCAAAAGGAGTCCAGTCTGAGCCATAGAGCCCATGTCTTTGCCCCCGAAGGTCGCGTTCAAATGCCTGGAATGGCCGTCTCAGTGGTGTCCGGCCGGCGCGATCACCGAGCTGTGACGCTCAGGGAAGCCTGATGAGGTGCTGGTTTCTTTGCCCAGGCCTGGCCTACGACCCATGCTGGATCAGCTGAGCAAGGTTTGGGGAGAATCCTATATTGGGATCTTCAGATATTTGACGGATGACCAAA